TCAGCTTTTGTAATCGTTATGGTGGCCAATTTACCATTTCAACTTTGTTGATATATCCAAATTATTTTAATAACATGTAACTTCTCCCTAAAATATCCATACATTATCCAGCAAACAGGTAATGAGAATACTCAAACTTATCAGGTAGAAGTTATCTTAATCGAACAGGGCTTGACACTAATGGTAGCCCCAGACTAGTAGAAATTCAGTTTTGGCTTGCAGTTTTCGATTTCCACTAGCCAGTTTGGCTAATAATTAACAAACTAAAATTGTTGTAATATCTGAGTTGTCAGTAGCCACCAGGCTAGTCAGTTGAAAAGTTAGTGTTGAGCCCTGTTCCCTGTCTAACACCAAATTCTTGGAACTAATTTACAAGGAAATGTATAGAAGCTAAAGAGGAGAATTGTCCATCAGATTTTAAGAGAAAAATGGTTAAAGATAAACATGAACACTGTTAGAAACAAAGTACCTTGTCAAATTGAATATAAAGTTGATCATAAAGAATGACTGTTTCCTTGGGGATAGGCTTGAAAAAGCTTTATCCCTCATCTGTATAAGCACATATGATTGATTTTCATTTCCAAGTTCAATCCACTGGTTAACTGCATTCAACATACAATTTATCCTTCTGTAAGCAATCGCCAGATATATTATGCCTATCCAGTCTCTTCTGAGAGTTGGGAATTTGCAAGGGATTCCCATAATAATGACCCCTTGGCAAAATTTTAGTTTTTGTAAAGATGCTCTCTCTCAAAGCTTGCTATATAAGAGAAGGGGTGGCTGCATTGAATAAAAAGTCTATACTGGTTTCAACTTCCGTGTATGAGAAATTCCCTGTATTGTCAACAAATGCTCAGTTATTAATACCTGAATGTTACTTGACAAGTGTTGTCTTGTAACTTCCACAGCCTGATTGACCCATCTTCATATCTGAGTGTGAATTTAGAAGTTGAAATTCAATGGGAGTAGCACTAATTAATGCATTTCTGCCTAGAGCAAAGTGTATAGAAATTGTTATCAGGTTAACACATGCATTTATGCCAGATATCATCAGTGTAGAGTGTTCCTTACCCAACAGCCAAACCTTGATGATCAGGACTAACTTGTAGAGCAGTGACTTCATGTTTTTCTCCAGCCAGCACAGAAACCTTGACAGTAATATTCATAGTATTCAGTTCATGAGACCAAATTATTTAGTAAACCCCCCCCCCTCCCCACCAATGCCCTGCCGCATTTTCTTTAGAAATTTACCCCCTTACATCAACTAATAGAAAAGTCCACAAAGAAGAAAGGAGATCCATACTACTGAGTCAGTTCCCGCTTCTTTATAATTGTGAAATGAGATAAGGTGTAATAACCCCTTCTCGATGGGATGCTAGTCTATTGTACATGTAGTGCTCCAGAGTGGTGGGAGGTATATTTACATGTAAAATCTGCCTGTTCCCTGACAAGATACACAACATAATTGCAACAGCTAAAGATTAAGCCTGTTCGTTTGCATTTGGGCTTGTTAAACATATGCATGCTAACTTTTCTACTCTTAGCATGATTAAAACAGTCCCCTACTATGTACTTAATGAAAGTTGCAATCAAGACGCAGTTTCTATTGACCGTGACTGCTTTAGCGTAACCTGATCACATCTTATCTGATTTCCAGTATGGAAATCCGATAAAGTTTTAAAAATGTACTTCTAAGCATAATAAAGATACGCTCGCTGTTACCTTTTCTCCTCGTCTAACATCCCAAATTATGACATTCTCCAACGCCGGACAAATCGCGTACAGTGAGATCTGATTACTTGTAGTGTTAATTCTTCTCCTAACAAACACAATATTCGCTTTCAAGCTGGAAACAACGCCAAAACAGGGAGATTGTACATATCTGAGGTAAGCTTTGGTAAGCACCATCCTGCTTCCATTCGCTCACTACACGTGAACTAGTAGTATGTATGTCGTGTAAGACAACACATACTGTCCATCTCTTTCAAGAAGGTTCCGGAAAATAGTCTACAAGTCCCAAACATTTAACCACGCTCTGTAAAAAAAACTTTCTCCCGCGAGCCGTCCCAAATCAGACAGAATTTTCTGAGATGAGACTGGAGCAGGGCTGTTCCAAATTAGGAATAACCGTCCAAAATGGGTCAGAACCATCTTGTGCAAGACAAATTGAAGAGATCAGAAAGTTGTTTCTTTCTTTTAACTCGGTTGCTTGGAATCATTGAAGACCTTGCAGAGACTGCTAATTCTAATTGGTCCTACTATTAACACAGTTCGCATCTTGAAAAAAAATCAACATATTCTGCACCAGAAGGCTGTGTCTGGAAAGTCATTCTTAATAATCGACAAAAAAGAGACAATAATCCGACAGTCTATAATTTCTTGATCATTCCACAAGCCATTCAACGGTATCAACATAAAATCAAATGAGAGTGGGAATTTATTCCTTAAAGCAACATAAAAATATTTATAACTTTACTCAACACAACTTTTCTTTTGTCTACGGTCTGTCTTTGTCACATCAGCCGAGCCTAAATCAATCTCGAGCGCCAAATACCGCTGTGGGCTCGAGATCGAGCTTGAATTTACGGGTCGCGGACAGGGTACAATGAAATGCTAAGTCAGAGTGTATGCGGTCATTGTTGAGTTACTCGTGAATCAAGGACTACACGTGTTTTCTCCTCTTTTTATTAATTCATGTAAGCTAACTCATCTCCCTTTTTTTTTAATAACGTGACATCTCAACGGACTGCTAAAGCTTTGACAAGGCAACAAGGCAAACTGTAAAGCCTATCTAAAAATGTCAAATTAATCCTAGGTTTTCTCGAACTTTAAGAGATGGTTTTAACAGTCTTTTAGGCCTATTTGCTAGCAAAGGTGTAGCTAAGTGCTGCCTGTGAGTTCATTTTACGTTTGGAATGATTAGCTTGTAAAGGCGCTGTGATCTTATCTTCACCTGGTACTAGATCGTTTTCTCTCTGTTCTGGCATCGATGTGAGGTGTACGCGATTCCTTTTCATGGTGCTAATGGGTGTTTTAACCTCATGAGATCGAGGAGTTTCAGCTGCTTTCACTACCACACCAGGTCGGTCAAGGTCTTTGACGTGTACTTCAGTGCCAGGTTCTAGTGGTGTCAAAGGTGTGGCCTTGTGCCTAAAGTTGAAGTTTGTTTGTTGCTTCAACTTGCGTTCACTTTCTCTTGCATGAAGCTTCTCTAGGTCTGGCCACTGCGGGTTGAGCTCGATATGGAACGTCGGCAGGCTATTCCTTAGCTTTCGCCCCATCAACAGCTGGGCTAGAGAGAATTTACAGGCCAGTGGCGTTGATCGGTAGGCAAGTAGTCCTTTCGCAGGGTCTTCCGCTTTTTGGAAGAGATTCTTGACCGTTCGAACTCCATGCTCGACTTCTCCTTTTGACTGTGGACTACTGGTTATGTGTTTAAATCCCCACTCTTTTGCAAAGTGTGAGAATTCTGCGCTGCCTTACTGCGGGCCGTTCTCGGACCTCACTTGCTCTGGTATCCCATGACGAGCAAAGATTGACTCAAGGGCTCTGATTATGTCACTTGACTTTGTGGTCGTTGTCGTGGCTGCAACTTCCACATACCTGGAATAGTAGTTAATGACAATCAGGTAATCCACCCCCTTTCATTTGAAAGAGGTCTGTGGCTACGATTTGCCATGGACGATCAAGCAAGGGTGTTTCAATGAGTGGCTCTAGCTTGTTGTCCTCGTGTAGTGCACAGGTCCTGCACAGCTGTACTAAATCTTGGATTTCTCTGCTCAGTCCTGGCCACCACACAGAACTTTTGGCTCGCTCCAAGGTAATCCCTTGATGACCTTCGTGTATCTTGTCCAGGATCTCTAGCTGCATGGACGATGGTATGGCAACTCTGGTTCCTTTTAGGAAGATGTTCTGTAAAACAGTAATTTCACCCCTGGTTGACCAGTAAGATTTCATAGCATCATTCAATGAGTGCTTGTCAGGCCAACCTTCGGAGCAATTTTCATCTGTCTGCAGACTGGATCTTCTTCCTGAGCTTCTATAATTTGCTGCAATCTCGTCTCCAAGGCTGGGAGGCCTGTGATTACGCTTGCAACATGTGCTGTCATCTCATCATCAGCAATAGTACGCTGAGGATGTGTATGCTGGGCGTGGAGCCTTGACAGTGCATCAGCGATGTACGTCTTTTTCCTAGGGACGTGAATGATCTCTTTAAAACCGCATCCTGAATCTCTGGATTCTTGGTGAGAGTTGGTCTAGCGAGTGTGTGCTCAACAATGGGACCAAAGGCTTGTGGTCTGTTTCCACAAAAATTGAATTTCCAATGATGAATTCCCATGATCTCTCGGAGGCCCAAGTCAGCGCCAGGGCTTCTTTTTCTATCTGTGCATAACTTGATTCGATGGGTGTCAACGCTCTCGACAGAAAGGATATCGGTCTCCAAGACTTGTCTGGTTGGAACTGAAGTACTACTCCTTCGTTAGTCCGTAGGAAGATGCATCCGCAGCTACCTTTGTTTCCTTGTTAGAATGATACAGTTCTAGTACTGGAGCTCTCACGATATCTACTTTGATTTGCTCGAAGGTTTTCTGCTGGGCGTTTCCCCATTTCCACTGGTTCCCTTTTAGGAGAAGCTCTCTGATGCTTCTAGTCTTGTCTGCGAGGTGATCTGAAAACTTCCTAAGTTGGGTTACCATGCCTAGGAACGTTCTCACTTCCTGCAAATTTGTGGGTGGTGGGAGGTCTGTAATTGCTATTATTTTGTCTGGGTCAACTTCAACTCTATTGGAACTAATGACATGTCCCAGAAACTTGACTTGCTTGGTGCTGAAGACACACTTGTCGAGGTTGAGTGTTACGCTGGCCTCCAACAGACGCTTGAGAACTGCTTCTAGCCTCTCATCGTGCTGCTGTTGCTCTTTACCATGGACGAGCACGTCGTCAATATTGCACTCCACACCCTCCAAATCCAACAGGATTTGGTTTATGGTCTTCTGGAATTTCTCAGAACCGGAACTGATTCCAAAAGGCAACACATTAAAACAGAACCGTCTCCACAGTGTGATGAACGTCGTCAAGGGTCTTGATTCCCTGACAAAGAGCCAAACTGACCCTGGGCTCGAGATTGAGCCTGAATGTACGTTCGACACGGTGGAAAAACCGCTGATTGACTGAGTAGAAATGACGTAGCCCGTTTGCGATGCTCCTGCTTCAGCGCGGATAACTAAAGTAGCTAAAATGGCGGGATCATCCATGCGTATGTGACTAGAAGCGTAAAATCTCTTGTGCATTTGGTTGATCTAGATTATCTTGGATTCCTCTTTGCATACTGAGTTAAACGAGTACGTGTTTTAATCGAGTGTGACAAATAATGTGTGAAATAGGTTGTGAACAGCTTCGTTTAGAGTGGGATTCAGTAACAATGGGGAGAGGTCTGAAAACCTGTCAAATCGTCACTCTAATCTACGCAAAATTATATAACTTTATATTTTTTGCTAAGCGGCACGCACTGGCGTGAAAAGTAATCGAGGTAAACAACAAAATTGAAGTAAATTAATTTTCCATTGTCTCGGGTAAACTGGCTATTCAGTGTCCGCGTCCAAATTTATACTCTCCTTGAAGGATATAGCAAAATACTATGAGCGATTTTGGCATAGAGTACGAAAAGGACGTTGTTGGATTAGCATCGCGCTTACAAAACTACGAATAAATGGTACCCGCATTTTCCACCAGAACCCCGTGTTTTCCACCAGACCCCTTGTTTTCCACATCCCGTACCCGCGTTTAGCGCGTTTTCCATCCAGACAAGCGCGGCTGATTTTCAAAATAATTGTGATGTACTTCACATATACATATTTTGAAAGATTATATGAAGGAAGACAAGAGTTAATCAAATACTGTTTTATTAGCGGTATTTACAATTGTATCCGAGCAGAGCTACTAAGCTGAAGACGCTTGTCATCACGCGGTGTTTAGTTCGTTACTAAACAATTAGGTTAGAATTGTGCTTGTTATTGACTTTTCTTGATCCATGAGTTATTCAAGATAATACTACGTCGTCGGAACTGTCTGAAGTGGAGCGTGCTGGTGCCTTAGAAACTGTCGTGTTAAAATTCACTCTGACATCGACAAGGTACCTCCTTGTAGATTCTTCATCGTATTAACTGTAGAAATATCAAAAGGTACATCACAGGGGTTCCCTCTTAAAAAAATGCAGATAAAAAGGGATAAAAACTATCAAGATAGAAGGAAATCTAATCCGTAAGTGGAACCAATCGTCCAGTCTTATGGTCTCCTTCAATTCGAAAAATTTGAGTCCGATCTTTCATCACAATCGTTCCTTCACAATTGTACAAATAATATTACAATAATAAATAAATAATTCCACACATTTCCAGTAAGGTTAAGGCAAAGTGTTCGTATTTGTCCTCGTTTAACCGGTATTTAGCTTAGTCAGCGTAAAATTTTCAAGAAAGTCATCCGATAAGTAGGAGTGTTCTAAACTATGAGTCTTGATCCAGGCATGTATCGCGAATCGCTCCACACGTTCGATTCACCGCAGTTCGAGGGCCGCCTGCCACACTGTTTGCACCGATGGTATTTATCGCACTGTTCATGTATCAGCATGCCTGGACTCTGTGTACGGCGGCGTTCTTCATGTTCTTGATCTTTTTTGCGACACACACTTGCCGCCCAGGAATCTTCAAGTGAACGACGAACGTCTACGCGCTCTTGATGTCGAAAGGCGCGGTCCAAAATCATACTAAAAGACATAAAGACAAAGGACGCATAAAAGTATTAGCTTGCAAGCAACAAATGAGGAGCTGAGGGAATTTGGAAAAACTTTATGGTTACCACCCCCTCCCCTCCCTTCGGGTGATGGATACTGACCGGTCCTTTGGTGCCTCTAGTTCTGAATCGTAAGATGTTATATGCTGACCCTTTTCGGAGTTATCAGATTAAGTCAGGTTTAAAAACTCACTCTCTACGAGTTCTTTCAAGCATGTCTGACTCCTCTTTCTGATTTCGCAGATCCTTTAGAATAGCATCCCTCTTTCTCTGCGCCACCATCTCGAGCTGTTCTTGATAAAGCTGATGTGCTCGTGTCTTTCTTTCCAATAATTTCTCTTCAGTCGCATCAAGAATACCGAATATAGGTATCTTAGAGTCTGGTTCCAGAGCAGGGATAGGGAGGGGTTTAAAGCGCACCTGTAAAATACGTTCAATATGATCTTACGTAGAGAAGAACTACTAAGTGGCAAAATGATCTTACGTACGAAGAACTACTATGTGGCAAAATGGCTAAAAACTGGCAACTCCAGGTTTATTTATTTATTGGCGAAAGTGTGCTTTTTTTGTCAAACAGCTATGGGTCTCATGTGCCCGACCAGTTCCGAGGGGAAATAGAATTTCTCTATATTTTGTGGGTAGCGACCCAGCTGAAACAATCTAAGACAACTGTTGCAAATCAAACGTGACACTGGATGAAAACTCCAAGGCCAAAGGACCCAAGGGAAACCTGTCGGCTATTTATAGGAGTCGCCCGCGAAACATATCAGAAGTTGACACCTCCGGTCCGCAGACGTAGCGCTGGCTGCCATAAAAATATAAGTAATAAATTACTTGAACTCACCATATAATTGAACCTGAACAGGCTAGCTTTTTAACCTGTCTACGTGTAACTCTAAAAGACTTCTACACTCACATTCTCACTAAACTTCTAGATACCAAGCTAGCAAACAAACTGCTTTCAAAATTTCTAAAAGTACTAGCTAGCCGAAGCATTTCGTGCTAACACTATCATCCTACAAATAATTGTAACTACTGTGACTATGCACTCTACCGTTCTTCCTCCGGGACGTCCCTGCAGACGCAGTACTGCCGCGTGAGAGAACGGCACAATAATCTGAGGCTTCGGCAGACGCAACAACTCCGGGGAAGGACGTAACGAACAAGTCGCTCTCTTCCTGATATTAGTCTACATGTACACAAGGTAAATTCACCGTAGAAGTTGATGCCAAAAGCACTTTTCAATTTTGCATCGCTAATAGCTACTATTTTACTCCTCTTCTTCTAAATATATATCTGATTAGTAAGCGAGCATCGCCACTATGCCTTCTTGATAAAGGATTATGAATCATGTTCGACGTTGTTTTCAAACTTCATAGCTATTAAACTTATTGTCAGTCTATTTGTTTGTCTGTATGGTTGTCTATTCGTCCACTTGCCTGCCTGTCCAACTGCCTGTTTGCATACCTAGATACTACACTAACTTTCCATTTTCCCTTCATTTTCCCTTCCCAATGACCATTGGGCTGTGAATTTTTTATTTACTAACTTCACTTCATCCTTCGAACATTTCTTCAGAGAATGAAGGCAACGAGTGAAAATGATTGAACAATTCACCTGTGCATCTAGCGCCTTGCGATAGGCATCACTGCCCATTTTCTTCTCCCTCAAGTACTGCTCTCGTTGTAAAGCCAAACTGGAATAGCAACGAATCAAAACATTCCTTTGACAAGACGGTAAATCTAAAAGCATTATCCTTGCCATTAAATCTAAGGTTTTAAAGGTTTGGCCTTGTGGACTGTTGGGTGAGAGACAAGGTGACGGTAATAAAATGCGGTTGAAACTTTATGTCATTGATTAAAACCCTGGTACCGAACAAGACCATAGCGGTGTATTCCGATTTAGTATAATTTCAGAGCTGAGCAAAGAGTTTCCAGCAATCTGATTGGTCGATCGGTTCCTTATATGACGCTATACAAACCGCTCCACGGGGTTTATATAAAATGTTAAAATAAAAAGTTAATAAATGTTACTAAAATGTTATGATTTTAGAAATTTCTCTGTTGTTCAGCTCTGAAATTATACTAAAACAATTATTCGCCTCAGGTTCGGTGAATATCGNAAAAATTATATTTAGAACATAGCTAGCAGAGTCGCGCAATTAAATTCATTATACGTGAGCGTGCTCAAAATCCCGATAGTGCACGCTGATAGCGTCAGCAAATCCGACTTCGCCAGAACTTTTTTTTTCGCGCGAGCGGCCATTGTTAGCGCGGGGAAAAATAATATATTTCGCGACAATAATGGATACAAACAGAAACTCGGCCTACTAGTCCGAAAACGAAGACAATGTTTCGACCTTTTCCCTTGGGCTAGAGCTCTTAAATGAGGCAGAAAGAGAGAAAAACAAAGGAAAAGGAGACTCGGAAACAGCGCCGTCACGATTCGCTTCAACTGATATTGTTGTCCGTTTTTCGCGTCGGATTTGATGCACAATTCCACCGGCTATGTTCTAAAACAATTGGTTCATGCTTTCAGCTGTGCACTATCGAGTTATGGAGCACGTGGGAAGTTTGGAGAGCACTCAAGAAGCTAGAGTTTCCCTCGGCTATCGCCTCGGGCAACTCTTACGCTTCTTTCGTGCTCTCCAAACTTCCCGCGTGCTCCATAACTCGATAGTGCACGCTAAAGCATGAACCAATTGTTAATTAGGATTGTACTGACGGCTTCAATATTTCATTAACTGAAATAACTCACGACAACAGTTGTGAACTTGACACAAGACTTGTTTAAAAGTTCGACAATTTGGTTAATTACAGCCTGTATGTACCTAAGCAGTGTTTTAAAGATATCAGAGATTGAAACTATCTACACGAAGTAACTAAATAACACTTACAGAAAATTCTGTAGGTCTTGTGCTGAGTTTCTCCTGAAACCAAAGTGGAGGCATTCATGAATAAAAGCTATAGGTAAACTCTAAGTGAAATCAAACCAATAGTTATTCACTTTAAATAGATAAATCTTCATTTTATAATACCTTGATTGCCTCAGATACCCCAAGATTAAAGGCAGCCACCTTCTGGTTATAACGGCGGTTTTCTAAGGTCTTTCCCTGCACATAAAATACCAAAAGAAGCATAAGAACCTCTTAGCCCATAAGAGTGACTAGCACCTAGTCTCTCGTAACACTATCACCCCTGAATCAAATAGTAATGTCATTAGAGTAAAGGATATGATCATCAACTGGACAGGTTCTTGATTGTCAAACAAATTCTCCCTGTCGGCTTACTAGGAAACGTATATAGAATAATATGGAGAATATGTATAGTGATGTTGGGTTGTAAAGGGTAAAGACATTAGGAGATCCTACCGAAGTTTGGAAAAAAGAGGCGTAGGGCTGCTCGTTTGCTGTCTATCAACAGGTACTGTACATGTATTTTCGTCTAGTTAGACCGCCAGACAAATTTTTGGAACACATTCTGCCTTTCTAAGACAGTTGCTATCGCAACTTGTGTGTGTTGTTTGTGTGCGAGCCTGAACAGATTGGTTTAAAATGTGTAATATTGTAATATTGTTTACATTCACTGAAAAAAAAAACTGTGTTAGTATTGCTCTATGGCTTTGTAGAAACCTGGTCTTTAAGAATAGTCTCAGCGTCCTTCTGCTCTTGATACTGTTGTAGGAGGCGATCTTGTTCAAGTTCTCGTTGACGCCGTTCCTCCGCAAAGTAAATAGGTATATTTTTCTGAGAACGTTGATGGCAGAGGTAGCACAATTCTTGTCCTGCTCTTTCACTGTGAATACACCTGGTTATCCAAATGAAATGGAATAATTATTTCCGGAGGATAGTTTTGTTAAGACGAAAAAGGTTCAACAGCTTCAAGTAATTCTCAGTCTTTATCTTTTTTTTTTCCAGATTATAACGTCATGGTTGTAATCAGTAGGAACAAAAATACATGAACTTAACTACATTTGACTAAAAAATGTCTAGTCATTCCAGCTATCAACCTCTACATGAAGAAGCAACCCGCTATAACGGGATATGCTGTATTCAAATATTTTTCCTTTTAGATCTGACAAACCAGACCATCAACAGCATAGCATGCCTCGATCTAGATAGAGAAACAGGAGACTGTAGAGACTCTCTTCCTTACTCAGTAGGGGATTGCTCGCGTTTGGTTGCCTCCTGAGCCGGACTCCTTGTATTCTTGTAAACAGTAGCTCCTCTGATGCCCCTGGATGGATTCGTCTTGGATGGGCTCCTGGGTGGGGGGAGGGGCGGTGGTGGGGGAGGGGGCAGTGTCAGGGAGGCTTCAGGGGTGCTGTAAATCACACCGGAGACTTTGGCAGTTTGAAGAGGACTCCGTGGCCCAGTGGGAGGGGAGAGCCTTGATGCACTTTTTGGAACGGCTGAAAAATGACACTGAAGGTGAGTAGGTAGCTATTAAAACTACAGAAAATCTGGGGAAAAAGTCTTTAATTAAGAAAAAAACAGTTCATGAACATAACAAATGTTACAATGAGCAAAACCAAGGTGGTCATTAGGCATTGGAGATTGGAGCAATGTTAACTCCAATAAGGAGCCATTATGTGGTAAATTATCCTCTTGTTCTACACTATTCTCCTTCTTAACTGCGTTTTTTTTTTAATGAAAACCATTAATGACTCATTGCCAAAATGCATTTTTCTCCTTCTTCACCCTCAAGCTATTTCACTACAGCACAGCACATATTTATTAGGTTAAATCATAAATGGCATCAAATGTCACTCATCAAAGGAAAAAAAAAACAACTGAAGGTGCGCATATTTGGTGATTGTAAGTGCTTCTAAAATATTCAAATCCAGTTACTTGAAGTACTAGGAGATAGCTGTCTTTGAGTTTTTTATGTTCATCAGCTTTTAAAGAAAAAAATGTAAAACTTGAACTTTGCTTAATATATGTTCACTGAAAGCAATTACAGATAGTGATTTTTCCTCTTATACAACAAATTAACAGTTCAGTAATTCTTTAAATGGTGAAATACAGCGATAACTAAATATAAGTTTGAACAATCTGGATATTTCACACAAAGTTTACTAAATATAGCCTTACTTGACACATAGTGATAATTTAGTGGTGTTGAAAATGTCCCACAAGTCCTTGCCAAAAATTTAACTTGATTCAATTTTGTCGCAAACTGTGGAAATGATTTTATGTTGAAAACCAAAGCTTGTTTTCTGGTCAAGAAAGGAAGACCTGTTTTGTGATTATTGTTAACGGCTATGGCCATTGTAAATCTAAACCAGCATCAAAAGAGGATCAAACCTTGAAGCAGAGGTGTTGAGCAAAGTTAAACATTCTGTTGCTATGGATGACACCAAAATCATGTGACTTTTTTTAAATAGTTTATAAGTAGTATATTCTATCCTTGGGTGAGTAGTAAGAAATCACCTGACTGATAACCATGCATCATTAATAACAGAATTGTGATAGAACCTGAACTTCATTACAATGAGTACAATGACATCAATAATTTATCAAATATGTCTCCTTTAAAATCTTTCTGAAAGCTATGGTGAATGAAACCATTAGAAAGATAAATATGTACCACTCTAATTAGCAATGAGTCTTAATTAACCAGATTTAAATACTCGAAAAAAATTAATAGAGAAATTGAAATAAAACATTGCAATAATAAAATATTTTGCCCAAGGTTTTTGAGCATAAAACAAAAGGAGTTTGCTGATAAAAACACAGAATAAAATAATATTTAATTATTATTACAAAAAGTAATAAGATTTAAATTGTTCAAGAAGTTCACACAACTGCCAAGTAAGCATATCATCAACCACGTTTGCTGTTTGAATTATTTTCAATATCCTGATCAGTATCCTGGGGTTTAAATTTAAAACAGACCACAAACTATGAATCTAGGCACAAATAAAGTATTGTAGGAATATACTTCAAGATGAAAAACTTTGACAATTACATACTCAGAATTGCTATCATAAAAAAATATATTACTGGCAGTACATATCACACTACTGAAAACTAGTGTATACAGGTGTACGCATTTCAAAAAAAAGATGTAGATAAATCATAAAGTTATTCTCTGGATCCAAAACATTTCATCAACTGAGGATTTTTACTAGGTAAAAAATTATGTCATGAGTAAGACAGACCCTTTTTTGAGATGTAAATACATCAAAAAGTTATTCTTTGGATCCAGATTGTTTTATTGCCTGAGGATTTTTGGTGCATGTTCAGAAATCTGCATCACAAACAACTTCTTCTCTAAAAATGAACCTGTGGTGATCAATTCCTTGTTTGTTATCTCACCTACCAGTCAAATACAATTGATTTCATTTACACCATGTACAATTGGTTCCCTTTAATTGAAAAGATTAATTCCGACACTGTTTAGCAAACACAGTAGAAAAATAATTGTTGGCATCACTGTTTCATTAGTGTAAAAAGTCAGTAAAACTCAAAAAGGGAAAACTAAAATTTTAACTAACATTAGAATATTCTCTGGGAATGCAGTACATTAAATAGTCATTGGTATTGAACATTCAGCTCCAATTGGGCGAACTAGATCAAAGAGTTTTTGAGAAGTACCAATAACGACAATTGGACAAAGTATTACTTATACATAAAAAAAACCAGAAAATCAAAAATTAAAAAAATACTCAGTGATAAATGATAGAAAATAAAGAAATAAAATTTACACATTTTCAAGTAGTATTTAAGGACATCTTTCTTGTGACATGGTTGATTTTAGTTCATACCAGTCAAACTTAATAGACAAACTTTCTATTTGAAAATGTGTAAATTTTACTTCTTTGATACTGCACAGTATTACAGTTAAGTACAGTACAGTGACTGTAGCTTTGTTCTTTAAGCATGCATTCAGTTATAGCCATTAATGACTGACCTGTTTTAGCTTCTTTATCACTGTGATTACCATCATCTACACTTCCATTATTGCATGCAGTGCCAGTTACAAAGAAATTGTATCGACTGTATTTGCTTGTGTAGTTGTCCTTGGATGGATGATCCAGTAAGTTATAAATTCTTGAAAATGTACTCATGAGACTGTTGTAAGAATTAGGACTACGTTTTTTGGAGTAGGCTGGCATCATAAACAAAATGACCTTGAATGTTTATGCAGGGCTTCACAACTTAAGTGTGCAGCTTCTTCACAATATCAAACAAAATATCAGAAAGAGTGTGGTTACCATGCGCACTGCTACAACTTACTGTATCTTTACAGCCATGAGTAAAACTTTTGGCTTCTTAAACAATTTGTACACTGTTGCTATGAGAGCACAGACACAAAATTTATTAAAAATTCATAACTTTAATAACTTCAAGGTTACTATAATTAGGCAAAGCTTCAAAATACAGGAGGACATCTCAAACCAGTAATATCATTGGAGAGACATGGAATCCACAAATTATAGACAAGAAACTTACCCTTAATTAACCTCGTGCAGAATATTTTACATACTTTTGGCTTTCCATTTTGTTTACTTACAAAACCAGCCAGCAGGATATGTAGTAACCTCTGGTCACTACTGTCAGTGCCAAATCAAACAGTTCAATTTCAGCAGGTTGTCTTGTTTGGTTTTGGCAGGGACATATATGAATTGGAAGAAATTATTAAGAAGATACCATATCATTTACTGCCATCTATTCCATGTTTAAAACATTTTAGGGAAATTATACTTGTGCTGAAAATTTCAATTCAGAAAAATTATTCACATCTGCAGTGGTTTATAAAGGTAATATTTCATACTAAAAATGACAAATGAAATATTTTTTCATTGTGATAAAAAAATAAAAATAATATTCTCTGTCAAGCTTGAATAATTAATGATATCTTCAAAGCTGACATCACCATTCAACATAAACTCGTAAAAATGAGCGATATACAAGTATCGCTCATTTTTACGTGTCTATGTACATACATACATACATACATACATATACTTTATTTAATCTCGAATTTGGAGTAGCTAAAGAATAAGCTAGTATCTTCGAGTTACAAGTATAATTCTGAATACTACTAAAATGTAAAATGTAAAATTGTAACATTCTAAAATTTAACTATGAGAAAGAGTCATACTGTAGAATCTTGCGCTTGAAATCAGAAAAGTCAGACGTTCTAAAAGAGTTCGGAAGAGAGTTCCATAGTTTTGAAGCCATATATGAAAAGGAGTGAAGACCATAAGTAGTAGTTTTTGTAGACGGTAGAGACAAAATATAATTTCCGCGCAGATTATAGGATACAGACCGGAAACTAAACATATTCTTTAGATAGCCTGGATAGCAGTTAAAAAACAAGCTCTTGTACAATATAATTAAGAAAGTCTGAAGGCGTCTTTTATACAGAGATTTGGAGTTAACTTTGCTAAGTAGAGAGTCATAGGGAGAATTATAATCCTGCAAGATAACTCTAAGAATTTGCTTGTTTAAAGTATCTATCTTCTCAGTACTACGCGCACCACAAAAGTGCCATACAGACCAACAATAGTTAAAATGTGGCATAATAAAAGCCTTATACAATCTTAGTAGAGTATCTTTAGAGATAAGTTTACGAAATCTTAGCATTACATTTTGTATTACTAAATCTTTGTTAATAACAAACATAAACTCATTGACAAACTGCAGATCTCTGGAGGAGCAAGGGAGTCAACACCTGACAAGTCTGGGAATCATTACAGGGTGGGGGAGATGCTCATGACTCAAAACACCCTCCAGGGTAGTTCAATGAATGTCAAAACATTCAATTCATTAATATCTATTTTTTTCTCAGTAAATCAGCTCACCTTCCTCTTCTGTGGGTTGTTCTTGCTTTCCTAATTGTGGTTCCATAACTGGTACGGACCCTCCCTCCACCTGTTCCTGTGGCATTTCTTTATCAGAGGTGGTGACCTCTTCCCTCACATCTTCACCCTGTCCATTATCTTCTTCATCCTGTTCTGTTATGGTGGGCATACCTTCTTTACCAGCGCTTTTTCCTGGGCTTCCACTCTCCCCTGGGGTAATCCTACAGTAAATTAATGAACAAAGTAAACTATTACACTCAAACTAAGTACCAAAAATTGTCACATCATAATTCATGCAACAAATTCTTATACATTATCAATTTTGAGTAAAAAAATATCATAATTAATTAATCTGAATGCTGATTTTAAAAAAGGTTTGTACATGATGATAAATGGAGAAAGTCTATGAGCATGTGGAAGAAAATAATTTTAAGTTGCCCAAAACATTCAAATAAGAGGATACTGTTAACAACCACAATGGGCAATCATACAGTCATGTTTTCAAGATTAAAACTTAAGTTTAGAATTAATCATTTCCAAAATTTAAGTTCACCAACCTCGGCAGAACTAGAGTGTTGCTAGTATGTGGCCGTGGACTAACAGGCTCTGACAAGACAGAGTCTGCTGTTCCAGGTCTCTGTAAGATAAGATCAGAACTTTTCATAGAGGGGACCTCAGAAGTATAATGATCAAAATAATTAATTCAGTCTATTAAATTGATTATCGCTAAGAGAGAGCAAAGATAATCAGAGCATAATTGGTGCTCATCCGGATTTAACTGCCATGCATGGTAATAACTCTCAACATGCACCTAAAACAAGACAAGTGTTAATCCTGACAATTTTTTTGAACAGTGTCACCATCACAATGACAGTGTTACTGGGTGACCATTGTTTGTGCTCAAGCACCACCTTGATCTAGGGCAAGTACTTAAATCCTACTTCTTTCATTAATATTTTGTTCTAAACTTACATTACATTCGCATTCACACTCTAAACATAATATACAAGAAAAATTATGTGCTTCTGACTGGATGAAAGAGAGTGTAGTTTTAAGTAATATGGAGTGCGAAGTTATAAGACAAGTGCAAAGTTGTAAGACAAGTGCAAATTACAAACAGTGCACATGCTGTCAAAATTTTGTCTGTCTTAACTTTCTGTTATACTTTCTTCGCGTACATTATTAGATACAATTGGTTTCTGATTTAATTTGGTATAAACAAGGAATATCTCATAAATTCTTCAAAGAGGGCAATTTTGTCGTCTTTAAACAATTTACTCGTGCTTATAATTCACACCAAATTGCATTTGAAATTGTGTTATTACGTTCATATATATAATTTATATACTGATCAAGCTATTGGGACCTATGGATTAATTTTGTGTGAACATGCACATAGATCCCCCTGATTGGATCTCCATGAGGCAGCTCACTCATGTAAGCAACCACCTCCTACAGGCTATTGATATTTCAGGTAATTGCTTGTATAAGGTTAACTTTAGAGTTTGATACCTCACCACAATACCTGACTCAAACCTTCCTAGAGTTCAGCTAGCAGTACTTACATTGGACATTGCCTGAACTAAGCTGCCAGAACCATCCATGCTCTTTAAGAATTCCTTGTAGAACTTCATTTTTACTTTGGAATCCCTTATTGAAAGTCGCCCAATCCCAGAAAAATGGAACTCTACATTTCTTTTTGCCTGTACAGATCTACTCAGAGCCTGAAGGACTTCCTTTACACAGCTTTCTACAGTGTCTCTGTTAAATGGTGTCTCATTTGAAAGAGCTGCAAAATTAAGCTGCACCACTGGAATTTGACCTACCGTAGCAAAAAAAAAAAGTCGTTATATGAATATATGAGAGCTAGTGAGGAAAATTTTCATGTCTGACAGAATTCTACCCCCAACAGTTATGAAGGAGGTCACGTCACAGAAACTGTGAAGTACGATGTTTCAGTGACAGATATTGAGTCATGTTACGGTTTGGGTGATAGGGGCAGTCAGTTTTTAATTTTTCAAGGAAAAAAGGGCAAATAAATTCATGGACTTATAAATCTAATAGGTAAGCAGGAAAGGGGGTCTCAAAATATGTCACTTGGAGATGGGTGGGCAAAAACAATTTGAACTTGTCTTATCCCTCTATTTAAAGAAACCACCCCTTGCCTTAAAAAAAAACACTTTAATAGGCCAACGAGAGCGATAAAATTTTAAAAGTTACAAAGTGTTCTTATCATAGAGCCAAAGTGGTTGAGATGTGGTGTTACAAGTGTATCTATGTAAAAAATATTTATCTACATAAATATTTTTAAAGTTCTAACTTAAAATTACCATATTTTATGCAAGTTAATTAATAATTAAAAAACTAAATCCATACATTTTAAAAAGTTTAAATAGCTATAAATAAAAAATTATATGAAGTCAAAATTATCTGCTTTGGCGTTGCTCAAAAATGAAACACTTCTTAACATTCAAATCCTTACGAAAAGAATAAACCATAACAAAGTCATGACACATATCCGTTTACATTTTGATATCGATACAGAAGGTCGAAGTGTCAAAGCAGTTTACACATTTTTAGTATAAGTACTCTCAATTTTCACCAGGCCCTAATGACGTCTTAATAAAGTTTTAACTCTCTCGCAGCATGTTGAGTAAATAAATGACAACATAATTCTGCAGGGAACACCTGCACCCCACAGAGAAAGAAAATAGAATTCAGGCTATTCTTATAATTATAGTTTACCGGTGGTGTGGTGTTTGGCGTAATTAAGAGCGTGAGTCATCGCAAACTTCTCGGACAACATGAAAACCGGTCTCTGGATCTGAATGTATTTGTTATTTCCAACGTCCAGCTTTTTTTGCGAGAAGGTGAAAATACCGAGGCCTGGCACACATACACCCTGCAGGAAACATAGAAGATTCATAAATGAACTTCATATATTCATTGTATAGAAGATTCTGTTACAGCGTTTCTCAAACAAAGTTGGAATTTGCGAAATCAAAATGGTTACCACGGATCTTGCACGTTCAACATAGTGGTCGGTAGTTAATCCGTTCAAAAGTAAGTTTCGATGTATGTAATAATTATACTTAAAGAACTCCTGAAAGAGAAATAAACCCGCGAAGAGCGCGGACGGAGACTAATCCTTCGACGTGCAAGGAGACGAATCCTTAGAGCGCGGAGTTGCGACTAACCTTTTGAAGAGCCATTTGTTTTTCGATGAATCTTGACACATTGTCCCAAACACTAACAATATCTGAAACATCAGGGCAAGAGATGTGAAACAATTGTAGCGAGAGAAAATTACCAAACAAAGACCCAATTAAATGTTAGTTCTCGATTTTCAAATAAACTTACCTTCTCCTGTAAGCTTCGGTATCGCAGAAAATCGATTCTTTCTGGCCTCAGAGACCAGACCATACATTACCTCAGCCATTTCGGCTCAAAGTGCCGAGGTTGTTTCCAAAAGTGACAAGTTTTTATCGCAAAACATCTGCTTTACAGAGAACAAACGCGAGTCGATAAGTGACTTCGATTGCGGTATATAATCGTTACCATGACAACACTCCGCCAAATGGCCAGTGGAATATATTATTAGTGTGATACAGACCTAGTGCCAGGTCTCGGTCGTACACGAGAAAAATGTCGCCGACAAATATGAAAGAGTCCTCTAAGTTTCCATTTATCTTTATTCAAGTGAACGAACGTAACAAATTCAATTCCGCCTTAAAATTTGCATTCATTCTGCACTGGTGGAGCGTTATATTCAGAAATCATAAAAGATCACTCCTCGTGCGCATACACTCTGGATGGAGTACAGTGGCCATCTTTGAAAGTAGAGCAATATCGCCGAATTCTTCCTTGAATTTCCTCCATCCTGAAATCATTCTACCAAAAGACAAAAATTAAGTAAAAAAGAGGTTAATACTGGAAAAATGATACCACTTCTTTATCACCCACTATTTAGCAGAGATGACTAAACCACTACGGGATTGTGATATATTGTCGACGAATAAAATAGGAAAATCTTGTCGATATTGTCATATTATCATAATAGTAACTGGTAAACGGAGATTTGGATTTGCTTTCAAACTGTGGATTGCTCGAGGCTTGCCCCAGAAGTAACTGACCTTTGGGCCAAAGAATTCAGCGCCATCTGAGCCGGGAGACGGTGGGTTCACTGGCCCGATACCCGAATAACCTGTAGGGTAGCAACATCAGAAAAATTACTTTTCGCTTAACTGAACACCAATTCCAACGGCCAATCATAAAAAAAATGAATAAATATCACAAAAAAACCTATGAGAACTCCAGTGAAATCAAGTATCCTGCCTGATGAGTACGAAAAAAGCAATTCCGGTTTATCAGTTTCGACACTCAAATGTCTGGTCTCAATCTATATCTACAGGAGGCAGTGCTAAAACTAGTTTGCAAAAAACCAAACTGAGTAAACCACTGAATGCAGTCTTGATTGAGTTTAAAGCAACACCAGACTATAATGATCTCGGTATGTTTACACGAGTTCTCTGGCGCTTGGATGCGGTTACGTGTCTTTCCAAGGAGTTTTCTTTGTTCCTTCGTACCATTTATGTGTTTCCTTTAGTTTAATGATGTTTTCTCAAGCTTGGGATATACTTTTTAGCTATGCTTCTCGAGAACCCATGTCAGCTTTTCATTCTTGTTGATAGAAATGTTTGAAATATTCCCTCCGTGGCTAATATTTTCAAAGATATATGTTTTTCAGTGCAGACCTTAAATCTTCTGGTTTTAGGTTTTCACGTCTATAATGAAGTATTATACTGAAATTATTAAATAAAATTAAGGACAGAGCCGAGGAGACAAAGTAAAGCCCAAGAGGGGCCACATTGGGGGCGAAATTGCGTCATATTACCGTATTTCCATTTTATGGAGTCCTCGTACAGGACAATGGCCATCACGGCATCCTCTTCTGAAACCTTCGAGTAAAAAAAAAAAAATGGGTTTCCTATGGTTGCATTTTAGGATTTATAGGGACAGAACAAATCCATGAATATAAACGGTCGAGAAAAGTTAATTATTTTAACATTTAAAAAATCAGTTTATGCAACGCTTCATTTATTGGCATTCACATATCACAAACAATTAAGAGATTTCTTTCCGCGTGTAAACCTAGGGAAAAAGAAGTTTCTGAAAGAAGGAAAATGAAGAAAAGTATCACTACAGCTTTCATGGCGGTTCTGTCATTTTAGAAAATTTCGCTCAAACATCATAAGTCCAAAGTCACGGAAAAATTCCACTGGTTTTAAGCCCACTGATTCTTCCAGCAGCTTCTTGCCCCAATTAGTATGACGATCTTTGTGAAAGGTGGAAAAGATGAAGTCACCTTCTATTTGCTCGCAGGCTCTCCTCAGCTGTTCAACAACGTCTACTTGGAACATGACTGGGTCTTCTGTGTAAATAGATGCCACCCAATGCATGTACTTTACTCGGGGTGATCGCCGACCGTGAGCGAACGATTTCGGTAGCTTGCCAGCAGAGCAATCGTTTGCATCTCGGTCCGAGAAGACGCAATCACCCTCTTCGAAAATGCAATCGATATTGGATCGTTGAGCTTCGAATGGCTCCCAGTCAACGACGATCGTACGGCCAGGAAACATGTTTGCCACCGAATCGTCCACAATAAAATTGTACAGGAAAAGTCTTGAACAGGCTTTTACTTTCAAATCAAAAGTACCGGCCAATGCTTCCAGATAATGTGGTTTCAAAGTTTCTCTGTTCACGTAGAAGGCCAAGATGTCGCGCTCAAACAAGGCGGTGTCGCCGTACTTCTTCTGAATAGAAAGGCGCTCGATGTTATCGGATTTAGTCGTGAAGCGTTCTCGACAGACTTTGGGATATTCTTGTCGTATATGCTTGTGAATTGCGTCGATTAAATGGGTGCTCAAGCCCAATCCACGGAATCTGGGATGAATCCGCAAGCCTTGACTTATAAAAGTCTCGCCTCCGTCTACAATGTGAATAGCTCTAAGGCCAACAAGCTTTTCACCATACTGAGCAACAAAAATAGTTCGGTGCGGTTTGGTCAGCCATTGGTGAAAAAAGCAAGGAAAATAGTCATGTCCGTTGTAAATGCCTTCCGACATTTCTAGGACGGCTGCAAAGTCGCTCGGAACTGCTTTTCGAATTGTTATTTCCTTCATTATTTTCTCTACTCGGCTGCTTCTCAAGAAAACGCTATCGAGGGTGAAACTAGGAAGGGGTTGTTTACAGTAACATATTTTAAATTGTTACTCGTGAGAAAAAGTAACTATTGTTGGGAACAGACACAGGTGATAGAAACGTAAAACGTTAATTCCAGCAAAACAATTATTCATGTAGCAAAATTCAACAATGCTTTCTGATAGCTTGTAATTTAAAATTATTATTATACTTAAATCCCGTCCCACCTACATACGCACGAGTGAAAACTGTAAACAACGATTCTGCGATAAAAATAGAAATTAAAAAGGATGAATAAATAAAGAGAAAGAATATTTTTTAGTTTTGAATGTTGAGAAATTTGCTCGGTAAAGGCTGTTCATTTGCTCATATTCAAAAACTTTACTTAAAATACACCGATTTCTTTATATCTCGAGTTGGGTGGTAAACTTCGAATTGGTCAATCTCGGCTTTTCACTTCATCAGAAGACACTTTGGTTGCCGACGATGGACGCGACAACACCCTTCTACGTTGTCAATTTGCCGGTCTTCAATTCAGCATTTGGAGTTATCGCTTGACGATTAACAGAGAGGTCTACCAAAAATGACATCAATTCAGAGTTAATGCGAGCCGCTTAACATGTACTTGGAGGACAAAAGCTCGGGTTTTCGAACGTTAATGAAAATGCTTTGTTATAATTGGCACTCCTCTGAGGAAACACACGGCTGCTTCTCACGAGATTTACCTCTCTTTGCGGATTTGCGATCTTTTTCGTCAGTTTATAGTTATGAGTTTAGGAAGTCACATTCAGTATTGGACAATCAAATTCATCTAAAATTTCGTGAGGTTTTCAGCGAAAAACACGGCAATCCAGTGGTTCCGCCTGTTTCGTGAACAACTTTTAGCAACAACTTTTGCTTAAAAAAAGTGTTGCCGCATTAGTTTCCAAGGCAAAAAATCGATTTTCAGGCGCCAAAGCCCACGTATTTGCTTAACCTACACAATAAATACTATCCTTTTGACCGGCTCCACAGCCCTTTTTTTTTTTTTATATGATAGAAGGTTGGTAAATCTTGTGGAACACGTCAAAAGGAGTTTTCCTCAGTTTGAGATTTCTGTCGCATTCACGGAATTGTTATTTTTCGGTCAATAACCTGTGCGAATGTCGGTGAACTGCGTGTCTATATCCTACGTGTGCTGAAATAAATGACTTCGTTCTTATTTTTTTTAAAGCGTCTAATCAGGATTGGTCAAGTCTTGATGACGGTTGTAAAATTTTATTCACAAAATAAATCTCTTCACACGAACTGTTTTCAGCAATCTGTCCAGGAGTATTGAAAGCAAAAAAATCCCATGACGACCTAATTACAGCAGGATAGCAAACCGACTTCCAAATATGACAAGTATGATGATTAAAAAGTACGTAACACGGTTCCCCTCTGTGACCGTTAATGATCAGAGGAGGTTCTGTTTTCGGTTAGTCTCGGTTTTTCTGAAAAATTTTGTCTGTTGGTCTAAACAAGATTGAAATCATGGAGGGTGGGATTCATTCAGTTAGAAGGTCGAATCTATAAAATGTAATCAAACTTCACTTGTGAAATTTTCTAAAATACTTCTCCGAACGCTTCCTGACTGTTCTTTGAAAGTTTTTCGCTCCTCACAAGAATTTCCATTTAGACAGATACTACTCAGATACAATGAATATATGAAGTTCATATATTTTGAACTGCGGTATTAGATACGTATGATGCACGATCCTCGCAGTAGATAGCGCTATTTATGCAATAGCGAAAATCAGACCTGAAAAAAAATCAGGCCTGTAAAGAAAGTTAAATTTGATGTCATTAGAAAATAGAAGATTTTTAGCTGACGTTACATTTTTATATAACCGAGCCCTCAACGGAATTATTGACATTAATATTCACTCATAGGTTGATTTTTATTCGGACGCTGACCATTATCAATTGAGGAAATACGATAATTTATCTTTAAAGAAGAAATACGCAAGAAAAAATCCTCTCAAATATAGTTTTTTTTCACAGGATAGTTGATTCCTGGAATCTTTTGCCTTTTGATACTCGTAGAGCAGCAACTGTAAATAGTTTTAGGCAGATGTTAAGAAGTATTTAGTGGATAATATATCTAATTAATATATTCCGTGGAATTTTTATAATAATTATTTCTAGTTTAAAACATGTAATATATTTTTAGCCTATTTAACTTTGGTGATCTGTTTTCACATGGGGTCCTGGACTCCTTTACGGATTATCCCTATGGCGTTTCTTTTCTTTTCGCTTGTACTTTATAACTTTATTTGTTTTAACTGAGCCATTAAAATAAAGGAACCGTTAGCCGTAAAATGGCCAGAATTTTAACCATTAGCCTTATCATTTGGCAGGCCACTGAGCGTTTTATTGTTACTGGAATTTTATGTTTACATCCTGAGTTGGCCTGAATAAATAGCATATGGCGATAAAGGACTCCCTCTTGTGTATCACGAGCCCATTATCCTGTTGCGTATAT